AAGTCAGCTTATATACTCCTGATCTATTCGACACCGAAGTTTTGTCTTCATCGTTTTTATTGAATTTACTTAGACTATTATTCGTTCTGTAAGCTACGTTTACACATTCTCTCTTTAAAAAACGGGCAATATTATTGGTTGGTTCACCTATATTATTGGTTGGTTCACCTAAATATGACAATGTCCTATAACATCTTGAATTTGGGTAAAAAAAATTTAGATTTACTATCTCAAATTTTTTTCCAATTTAACGAAAAATACTGTTCATGCAGTGAAGGATTAATAATGGGGAACCCTTTGAGTCCCTTGCTGGCTGAAACTTTCATGGATAGCATAGAGTATAAAATCCATAATAATCAGTTAACTTAGAATTACTTATACTGGTACAGATATGTAGATGCTATCTTAGTCTGTTTGACTGGTACAAATAGGCAATTAGGCAAGTTCATTGAATATGTCAAATCCATCCACCCGTCAATAAAATTCACCACTGAGAGGGGAATAAATAATTCAATTAATTACCTTGACTTAACCATTACGAAAAAAATAAAAAAAACATGAATTTGTAATTTTCCATTAACAGTCGTACACCGACATTATCATATCCCTCCACACACTCTTATCAGCATAAAGTTGCTGCATTCAATAGTATGCTTCATAGACTATTGAATATTCCACTGTCTGAGAGTAATTTCCAGAGAGAGCAAAGTTTTATCAAACAAATCGCGGTTAACAACGGTTATAAGGAAGATATTATAGACTTCATTCTTTCCAAAAAACTACAAAAGCAAGTCATGGACCTGGTCTACCCAAATTCAAGATGCGATAACATCAGTTATAGGACCTTGTCATATTTGGATGAACCAACCAATATTATTGCCCGTTTTTTGAATAAAGAATGCGTGAACGTAGCTTACATAACGAATAATAGATTAAGTGAATCTATTAAAAACAATGAAGACAAAACTTCGGAGTCAGATAGATCAGGAGTATATCAGCTGACTTGTGGCTCTTGCCAAAACTGTATATTGGCCAAACAGGGAGAACAGTTTCCCAAAGAATTGAAGAGCATAGAAGTAGTTTTGTAAATAGAAAGACCAATTCCACATTTGCAAACCACCTTTAAGCAGAAGGACACGAGGTCCATCATGAATACGATGTGTTACATTCAGAAGAGAAGAGTTTGAAACTATCTTTCAGGATGTTTAGATTCAGTAATTCGGGTAATTTACTGAATGATCAATCAGTCACTAAATATTTTTTCAAATTTGGTAACTGGTAATTTAGTTCATTTCAAACTTGGGTAAAAATCAGGTACTTGAAATGTAGATACTTCAAATTGTAGAATAAGATATATTTAGCATTGAATATGTAGAATTAGTTATTGAAGACACGCCCGAAGAAGCCATTTCATGGCAAAACACGTGTTACGTTTTTGTAAGATCGTCTAGTGAATACGTTAATGATTCATGAGTTTTCTTCACAATAAAAGAGTTGATAAGAATGATTCTCAACAAATCATTTATCATGATAAAAATAGAGAAAAGTGCTTGATGATACCCCAATCCAGATCCATTTCATAACATAGAAATTACCGACACGTACTTGAAGATATTCATACATTTTTTTACGAACAGAGGAAAGGCGCCTAAGGCGACAATGAAAAATAAATGAAAAATTTGTGTAGCAAGCAATTACATATTTTTTTGGCTAATAAAAAATACAGTTCAATACAACAATACAATACAATATCTTTATTCCTCAAAATGATCACTTCACAACGATATAGGAGTCGTCAATGATAAAAAACATGAAATGTATATAAACATTAGTTGAAAATACATAAATTTAACACTTGAGAGTGCTTGTTTGAAATAAACAATTGAAAATGTTTATACACGTACATAATAGCTGAAATAGGTAATGCCGGAATGATATTAATTGTTGATTGGCGAATGTGGATATTCCAAATATTCATTAATATTGTAAAGACAACCATCTACAAGATAGTCTCTGATTCTCCGTTTGAATACTAAAATTGATGCTACACTTTTTAGGCCGGAAGGTAGACAATTGAAAAATTTGGAACCTGCTAGAGATGGCGTCTTTTCGAATAATGTTGTACGATGTTGTTGAAGTTTGCTATCTCCATCTGAAGTTCGTAAACTGGCCTACGAGTTAGCGATTAAAAATGGAAAAACATTTCCTGAAAATTGGCAGACGAATGGCGGGTAAGGAATGCTTGACGGGATTTTTAAAACGACACCCGAGCCTGTCTTTGAGATGTCCTCGAGCAACAAGTCAGTCGCGGGCTTCAAGTTTCAAGGAGCATAATGTGAGTAAATTTTTTTATAATCTTACTGAAGTAATGGATAGGTACCAATTCGAGTCAAAAGAAATCTGGAATATGGACGAGACAGGGGTGAGCACTGTTCAAAAACCTAGCAAAATTGTAGCTCAAGTGGTTGCAGTAACCTCAGCAGAGCGTGGAAGATTAGTAACTGTTGCTGTTGCCATCAATGCTCAAGGAGGACATATCCCGCCTTTTTTCGTATTCACACTGAAACGATTCCAAGACCACATGATACGCGAGGGTCCTGTTGGTTGTGCTGGAGCTGGCGATGCTAGTGGATGGATGCAGGATGCAGTATTTCTACTGTTTATACAAGATTTCAAAAGACAAGTCAAGCCCACAGATGATCAGAAAGCATTTCCTCTTTCTGTCACTGATAGAAATGCAATTGCTGTATTCACCTGTACTGACATAAGTCCATTTAATAGGAATATTTTTACTGCTGTTGACTACGCACCATCATCTGTGACTGACCGGCCGTTACAAGTTAACAGACAAATTCCGACAAATGCTGTGTTGACTAGTTCTGACGCAATATCATCCATTCAAGTTGATCCAAGTTCTCCAGCTGATGATCCCCCAACATCAATTGACCTATCTGTTCACCATACAGATAGCAATGATTTGTCAAACAATAATGACCAACCACCGGCTGATCAAAATATACCGGACTCGATCTCTGCTGACACTGATCCTGTGTTAGCTAACTCAATTTTTGATCAAAAATTCAAATCACCAGTGCCAGGACCTAGCGAGCTGCAATTTACAAATTCTATACAGCCGTTTAATTTCTCATCTAAAGATCTTACACCTTTACCACAAGCGGGTCCGAGGACTGAAACAAATAAAGGTCGTAAAAAACGTAAGACTGGCATTCTGACGGATACTCCTGAAAAAAACTCAATTGAACAAGAACACCAACAACGAATTAAAGCCAAGAAAATGGTACTGCAAACTAATACTGGAGAAGTTAAAAGAAAATTGATATGTGCAAAAGAAAAGGGAAAGGGAAAAAAGACAAAGAAGGCACCAAAAGAAAAAAAAATAAATCTAACGACGAAGATTGCTTCCGTCTTGTCTGTTTAGAAACTTTTGGCAATAGTCGACCAAATGGATAGTGGATACAATGTATCGAATGTTAAATGTGGTCCCATGTGGAATGCGTGGGTGACGATAAGAATTATGTGTGCAATAATTGCGATTCTGAGTGAGAGAATAATGACTGAGTTATAAAAGTCTGATTATAAAAAAATGTTTAGCATCATACTAAATTGATCTCATTACTTAAACTAAGAATACTTTTTATTGATTTGTTTTTTTAATATATAATTTCTTCAGGAGATAAAATGAACAACAGGCTATAGTTTTTATGATTACAAGGAATCCAGAAGTCAAAATATGTATTTTTCTTTCCGCCCTGAAAAGTGATTATTAGATTTTATTTGCTACGAATATCTAACTATTATCAACTCTTTTTCGGAGAGAGACCATCAAAACTTGAATTCGCAGCTGAATAGCGTCATAACTTGCAAAATTATTTGAGGTTACCAACAACGAAATAGACCGGTTAGTAATTGTCAAACGAAGTAAAAGCAAAGTGTCATTTATAGCATAAATTGCCTGTCCACATTTCTTAAAGGAATAGTTTCTTTTGGATTATTTGATATGACTATCTAACTATTATCAACTCCTTCTCGGAGAGGGTTCATCATAATTTGAATTTACAACTGAATGGTGTCATCTTGCAAAATTATTTGAAGTTACCAACAACAAAATAAACTGGTTAGTATTGCCCCATAAATTTAAAACAAAGTGTTATTTGTAGCAAAATTCGCCTGTTCATATTTCTAGAAGGAATAGTCTCTATTGGAATAATTGGAATGACTATCTAACTACTATCAACTCCTTCTCGAAAAAAGATCATCATAACTTGAATTCGCAACTGAATGGTGTCATATCTTGCAAAATCATTTGAGGTTACCACAAGGAAATAGATCGGTTAGTATTGCCAAACGAAGTACACGCAAACTATCATTAATAGCATAAATTGCCTGTCCATATTTCTCAAATGAATAGTCTATATTGGATTATTTGGTAATACTATCTAACTAATATCAACTATTCGGAGAGGGATCATTATAATTTGAATTAGCAACTGAATAGTGTCATATCTTGTAAAATTATTTGAGGTTACCAACAACAAAATAAATCGGTCAGTATTGCCAAAAAAAGTAAAGACAAAGTGTCATTAGTAGCAAAGATCGGCTGTACATTTATCAAAAGAATAGTCTCTTAAGAACCGTAAGAACCGAACTGTCTCACAAATATCACATCTACAATAACTTAACAAATCAAATACAAGAAACATATTCATATCGAAAAGAACTGTCATTTTATCGAATATTCTATGTAACTGAACAGTAAAATTGGAATCTCTGGCGTAGGGAGAACAGAAAAAATTATCAGAAACACACCGAAACTCTTTTGTTGACGTACACACTAACCAAGACATCTTCAGTGGTATGTGCATAAATTTCAAAATCTATAGCTTCTTTGAAAAATAATATATTTCCAATTCAGTAGTGAAACGACGCAGGTAAAAATTTTCTTGTTATTCAATACAATTATATTCAACATCGTCGAGTTCATATCTTACTATTCCCCTGACTTGAGAAAATACATACCATTTTCTTATATCCTATTTTAGTCCTAGCTACTTTCACGTCTGCGAAACTATTCTGTTTTGAGTCTGACCCTCCGAAGATACGTTATCTTTATGTTCTTTACTATGGCCATCCTTCAAGATTTCTGACAGTTTAGGTGGTAGTTTGGGATCATAAGCTATTCCAAATGGACGAAGGTGGTACAAAAGATATTCCATTGTATACATCATATCTGGTTTCATATAATGAAATGAGACTGCATTATCAGAGCAGCAATCCATACCCTGGAAAAGATAATTCCAGAATGATTTTTGTTTTTTACAATATTTTAATTACTGAGCTCTTCATATGAAGATTATAACAGTGGTCTAGTAGATTGAAGTGTTCATCAATTTCGAACCTTCGTAAGAGTTTGGTGCTTCCGTCACTTGTGACATCAAATAAAATTCATAACAAACAACTTGAAATCACCATGTTATTCAATGAGCAGGATTGATATAATCCTTTCGACAAGATTCGAAAACTTTTTTTAACAAAGAGATACATATTATCATGACAACGTTTATTATTGACAATATTGAGCTGCCTAGCTCCTCAATGAGAACGCCATATTAGCTTCAAAATATATATTATATTTCATTCCGTTCCTTGAATGCTTTCATTTGATTTCCACGTGATATGAAGTTTTTTCTATAATAGTATGTGATGAACAATGGTTGAGATAAAAAATAATAATAATAATACTTACGATGTATTTTCTGAAAAAACATACAAGAAACACATATGTAATATATACATACAAACATGCATACATATTAGTTTTTGTAATTAGTGACGCGGGGATTTTGCTGATTAATATATGTTATGAAACATGTACAGAGTGGGCTGAATTAGACACTTTCAAATGGAAACTTCCGTTTTCAAACTGATGCTTGTGTCTGAGGGTAGAATTTTATGACAAATTCAATGGTGACAACCGCATATCGATATCTATCATCGTTTATGAGTTAAAGCATATTTTTCAAAAATGCGCATTTTCGAGAAGTTGCTGTAACTGCTCCAGTAAAAAATTTCTTGTTTCTATGAAATAATTTCCAAAGCTTTTTGTTACGTAGAATTCGATATTGTTAAAAACTTTTTTTAAATGAGATATAAATTGTTATTGATGGAAAACTATTTTCTTTATGGAAATATCTATATATTCCTGCATAGTGAGCT